GCTTCTAAGATAATAATATTATAAATGTGTTTTATAAATATAGTCACTCGCATTGCGTGCCTTAGTAAAAACGTTGAGTGATTGCAAGTATTTTTAAGATTTATTAGATTGTCATTTATGTTTAACCTCATGTCAGTTTCATTATTTATTATGTCCATCTTCGTTCTTTTTTTCTGAGTATTAAGTCCATTTTTATATGACATGCTAATATATTTGCTGCCCATCGAAGTTATTACAGTTTTGGAAAGTGTAATTAAGAACAAACCTTAGTTAATAAAATTGTTATTAGAAAATTGTTTTTATAAATTCATGGAAAGTAAAATATCTTGCACAAGAAAACTAAAAGAGTTTAAATGAATTAATTAAATTTAAATGAAATGAATGATACCTTGTAACTAAAGCGAAAAGATATATAAGTACATCTTTTCGAATATAAAAATTTTATATAGAATATATAAAATATATTAAATAATATATTATAATAATAATTAATATAAATATAATAATTAATATGATATATTATACTAATAATTAATGTATAGAATATAAAAATTCTTTTTTCTTCAAAAACTAAAAAGTGGGAAAATTAGACATGTTTCGAGTGCTCAAAAATAAGCGTCTATTTTCGAGAGTAGCCAGACGTGAATAAAGAGAATAAAAATATTTAAAACAAGAAAAGTAAAGTTACCAAAGGAAAAATGAAAGATAAATAAAGGTAGAAAGCAAAACTAGAAAAACTGCGGTAGCCAGAGTGAGACAAAAAACGAAAAGTTGCCAACGATATAAATGGAAAATAAATGAAGGTGAAAAACAAATTTAGAAAAATCTATGTGGCTGAGAGAGGCAATTCAGAGCAGGCAGCATTTCCACGCTCCATAGAAAAGTGCTGAGAAACTCATTAAGTTAAAGAGAGAATTGAATGAAACAAGATACCAGAGTATCAAGATGAGCTGTTGTGACAGGGGTGGAAAGAAATGTTGCACTATTGAAATCAATTTTATGCCCAAGGATCCAACAAGTGCAGCAATAAATTATTTATCAAAATCTTGCTGATGGATATCTATAGTGCTCCTTTAATCCAAATTTTAAAGAGCTTCTGGTTTAATCGTTGAAACCAAGTTTTCAATGGACGTGGTAAATGCCACAATGGTTATTAATACTAATAGGATCTTAGAGGGACTTTAATTCTGTTAACAGGCCTGAAAATGACTTTGTAACTAAAACGGGAAACTATACTAGTAACTTTGTTGCAAACGGAGTGGAAAAACGGGTATGTTTTCAAAAAGAAGTGCAGTTTAATAATACAGTCCAATACCTCAAAAGTGATGAATCTAATTTCTGTGATGATTATATAGTTTCAGAAAACATGAGATAATGTAGCATGAAATTAAATGTTATTTTTTCATTTCTTAAAACAAATCTTCATATATCAGAATTTCAAATTTAGGTTCAATTAAACTTCAACTCAAATTTAGGTTCAATTAAAGTTCAAATCAAATTTAGGTTCAATTAAGGAATTAAAGTTCACAATGAACCCGAGAATCCACATCAATTCATAAAATGAATCTTATTCATATGACTTTTTATAAGGAAATAAATGAGTTTCGAATAATTTAAAACTATGCATTTTTAATTTTAAAAGTGCACTGAAAATTTTTATAAAAAAGTACCGGCACTGAGGATGCCGGTACATTTACAACTATTTACACCGTTAATTATACAGCATAATTATTATAAAAGCCTGTAAAATTTGCGAAAAGTTTAATTCTTTTTATAATTATACCCTAATTATACTTAGAGTAAACTTGTTTAAATATAATAATTCATGAGAAATTATTAAAATTAACCAATGAAAATAGCCTAAAAAGCAAATTTGATAATTATTTATTCAATAATGAATCAGTATTAAAATTATTTCATAATTTTTTTATGAAAATGTATGTGAATAAACAAATTCTTCAATATCCTGTAAATATTTTCTAATTAGTGCAGTTATTTTATTTTTAATAATTTGGGGGTGTTTTAGTTCACTGTAATTAAATAATAATATTTAAATAGTAACATAAAATAATCACAAAAGAACAATATTTGGAAAAAAAGGACTTATAAAGTTAGTATTTCCGATTAAAACATTTGATAACAGAAAATATTGGGATTCTAATAAATAAATTTTAAACTAGCAAGATATAATATTTCACGTTAAAAAAGTTTTCAGGAAAATAAAGTTAAAAACATTGTATTTTTTAACTGCTATTTGTGAAGAACATTTAAAGCGAGATATTTCGAATTTTAAAATTAAAAAATTGCACAATGTAAGGACTGTACGAATTAATGTACTTTTACATTAATAATCATAAAGACATTATACATTATAATTCGAAAAAAATTATTCCTAGTAACTAGCTAAAAATAACTGATAAAAATCTTAATAGTCATTTAAAAATAATTTATAATTAAAACTATTGCATTATTTCGTGCAGAACAATATGCGAATAAATGGATTTTGTAATTTTATGCAGACAATTACTACTTAGTGCAGATAGTTTTATTTCAGAGATATGGTAATGCTTTTGTGCATTACAATTGAATAATAATATAAATAAGTAATACTCAAAATGCGATATCTGATGAAATTTTATTAGTATAAAATATATTTGGATAAACATAATTTATTGCAGCAGAAGGGAGAGGGACTTTTCAAAATGTCATTTCCATACTGTGAAATTGGTACTTGGAAACTGGGAATATTCACAGAAAATCTGGATAAGTTCGTACGCCTGCAACAACGAAAATAGAGAATCAGTATGTGGCTTAACTACCACTACGATTATTAAGCATCAATTCACTAGTATATAAGACATGCTAACTTGATTCAATCTTGATGTACCTTTTGAAACATTAAGGTCGGCATTGTCTAATGGTCTTTTCTCCCACATTGGTGATCTGCGCACGTTATATGATCACGACTACTTCGATGGATGGTCCACATTAAACAGTTGGCTTGCTATTTGTGACTGCAACATCGTCCGCCTCGCGCTGTTGCTTCTCAGTCTCATTTATACACGACGGGATCCTGCACACACTCGACTGCTAATAGCAACACAGGAGTAACTACACATACAACCATGAACTTAATGCAGCTCTCATGGCTAAAGCTCAAAACCCGGTGACCTAAATCCAGTTCTCCCGGTTTCTCACAAATACAGCAACTAGTGGTATCCGTTCATCGAATTCTATCCCTAATAAAATTCTGGTGGGATGTATTGTGGCTTAACTACCACTACAATTATTAAACATCAATTCACTAGTATATAAGATATGCTAACTTGATTCAATCTTGAGGTACCTTTTTTTAGATGAAGGTTGACATTGTCTACTGGCCTTTCCCCACAAGTATTTAACACAAACGGACAAAAGAGCTGGCAATGCGAACACCACTTTATTGCTTCAGAACATTCAGCGGGATACTGGTTTCAGTATTTCGACTCAAACAGCTCGAAATAAGCTCCATCATACAGACCTATGATTTCTGTTTGGAAGAAAAGGAACTACTATACTGCCTGCAGAAAGTGGTCATAGGACCATCTCAGATGGGGACGAGATGAGTGGAAGAACATACTTTTTACGGGCGAGTACACTCTGTGTATAGTGAAACAAAAGGAAAAAAAAGACATTACCCTTAATAACTTTTGTTCTAATAACATACAGTCGGACCACTATTTAACGAAGTCACTAAATCCTTATAATAAGTTCGTTATAAGGAAAATTCGTTAAATAGAAAGTTACCCTTTAAAATACTTAAATAACACAAATTAGGTTGTAAATTCATAAACAGTAGACATAATTAAAATAGCAATTCATACACCTTTATCTTGTAAACTAGTATCTACTATTTATTTTGTAAATCTTAACCATAAAAGAAATCTGCACGGAAAGCAAGAATAGAGCAAAACATTATCCAGTGTTAAATTATCATGCTAAATACATTTTCAATTTAGAAAAGGTTAAATTTATGTATAAAATTACAACTGCATTTATTATAAAAGCAATTTTAAACATACATTACGTTCTGAAGTTTAATTGATACTGATAAAATCCGTTAATTTTATTTGAGATTTTCGTTTGAAATGCAAACAAAATGGGAAAGGGATTTTGCTACGATCTCTGAAAATTAAGTGGCTTCGAAAATCAATTCAAGGTCATTTCCCCATAAAATAAGTTTGAAATGTTCTGAAATATTTCGGGAAATAGGGAAAGTGGATCTGGAAGAAAATTTCGTTAAATAGAAAAATTTACTTCGCTACTTGGAAGTTATTTTACGAAGAAATTTACAAAATGTTAAAAAAAAATCTCAAAATGGAAGTTTGTTAAATAGAAGCACGACTGTATTTTTCCGAACTGAAAATCAACCTTAATATTTTAAAAGATTGACCCCAAATTCTTCTATTTAATAAGTGCTAACTATTAATAAGTCAGGGAATCATCTCAGTAATTCTCATTATCAAGATGCTTTATCAAAACATCATTATCTATGCATTATCAAGATAGGCTCACTAATGGCTCAAAGTCATAGGACAATTATTTTCAGAACCTACTGCCTACTGTTTAGCTTATTTTCCAGATATAAACCCAATAGAACATATTCGTGGCATTCTCTCTTTGAAAATTTGATTGATTCCATGGGACATGGTTACAGTCAGGGGAAACCATAGTCTTTAATGAAACTCCTTTTTATCCGAGAAATTAAATTTTTGGTTTGTTTTTATAATATGTTTGAATTGAGCATTTTATTGTTTAATGACGTCAATAAATGCAATTTTTTTTGTTCTCTGCTTCTTTTTATTACCTCATATCTTACACCACTTATGCATCATATATCAGTCATCAAAAGTTTTCCTCATTTTAGATAATTTTAAGAGGCCTTTCTCAATTTTTGTATTCTTTCCATTCATTCCAGCTGTTGTTAATGGATGAAATTAAATAATTCCTTTTGTTTACAGATGGTTGTTGGTTTAATGAGGAGATAGTATCATCACCTGGATGGATGAAGTCACGTGGTCGGCTGGGAGCTTGCGACTTGTACCCTATACTCGCGAGTCGCTTGCTCGCCAAGAGAGTAGGTGCAGATCTGCAGAAGCTCGTCGAGAAGAGCATGGATTTAAAAAAGAGAGGGCCACCAACTTACCCGAGAGAGAATGTGTTTGCATCGCACCAGATTTGCTACCTTCCAAAATATTTTATACCCCGTTAGAAGATGTTGGCCAGTTTGGATTAGATAAGGTATGCTGTACGCAAAACATTTTAATATTGAACACAAAACATTTAAACTTTTTAGAACTTTTTGTAGGAGTTTTATTTTGTGAAATAGTTTTAGTTCTTACCCATAAATAATAAAACTAAGTACATCTAATACATTACAATCAATTTTGAGATAATTTTTCTGGTTAGGTAAGCTGTGTAAATTCAAAGGTTACACTATATTGATCGTCATGTCTATAATGCTTCTTCTTCAGTACTACAGTTTGTCGCAGGGCATGAGTCTCCTCCATCTGACTCTATCTGGAGCAGATCCCTTAGATTTCTTTCAGCAGAATCATTCCACCTCGTGGGGTCTTCCTCTTTTTCGTGTACCTTCTGTCTTTGAAAAAAAAATCACTAATTTAGTTGGATTAGAGTTTTTATATCTAAAGAGATATCCTAGCCATCTAATACTGCTATAATATTAACAAATTTGGAATGATGCAGTGAAGAAAAAATGAAAAGTGGCTGCTAAATTATCAAAAAATTGATCTTAAAATAAAAATTACCTTAACATCAAGCTCTATTTTTCTTTTTAAATATTTACTTTATTCCAAACTGCAAAAAAAGAAGGGAAAACAAAAAAAAAGGACTTGCTTTCTATGAGTTTGAAAACCATAAAAAAACATTGTCGCCATCTTAGTTAAAAAAAGAAATGGAAATTTAAGGAAATCTATCACTATGAGAATTAATTGTTCAAAAACTTTTAGCTCTGCTTTTTAAAAAGGTTTTATTGCTATATAAAATTATAATAAAATGAAAAATGCTCTCATGAAAATCATCGCGTTTTTCAAAATTTCGCCCCCAATAACTTTACCAGAATTAAGCTATTTTTTTTGTCTTTCTGTATTATTCTTTTACCGATGTCCATTCTAGAAAGTCAATTATGTCAGAATAGATAAGCTTCCAACTTACATTATCCAATGTCTCATTCACTAATAGAAGCTAAGCCTATTTAAGAAAAGAGCACTACCAGAAATTCTTTTTCTTTGGAATTAATAAATACTGGTTAGATGAATCGTTACCAGCGGACCTCGCTTAATCGATTCCTTGTTAAGTAGAGCTTGCATAATTAGAACATGCCAATGAAATACCCAATTTAGGTTTTCGGCCTTTTGTCCTAAATAGTAGTTCAACATCTTGACCTTCAGGAAATTCGTGTTGCTTAGGATTTTAAAAATAGACTGTTCTAGAAGCTATTCATTTTCGTTTCGTAAACTTATCGGAAGAACAACAGAAAAGTTACATTTTTTGTAAGTTTTATTCCTGATCGATAGATTTAAAGAGAATCTCTACCTAGAAGGAAATGAGGTTATTGAAGATTAAGGGTTGATTCGAGTAATTAATTGTACATGTCTGTTGATGAAACTTTGTATAAAATTTAAGGTTGATTTATTACCAATTAGACGACCTCGTAGCTTAATTTTTTTAAATAAATGGATATAAATTAAGATATAGGGCACAAGGACGCAGGGTGATTTATTTATCTTTTTAGTAAATATGAGAAGTCAAGATGTGATATATTGTCTTGCCTAGGGCTTCTTAGCCCTTTAAAGACCAGTTTTTTCTTTTTCAGTAAAACGCCAAATTACGATTTTAATGGATCAAATAAGGTAAAAATAACAATATTCTGCTAAAAAAAATGAATTATCTGGGCAATTGGAGGGGGGATTGGAATATATGTGTCCCACTGGGTTTTTTAGACAGGACGCATATGTTCCAATAGTATTTTCGTCTGCGAGATATGTATGTTCCGTTGGGGCCGAAAGGGTTAGCTGATTTTTTATACTCTAGAAATTTTTAAGCAGCGTTTAATATTCTTATAGTTACCTAAAAAAATTGACATAACATAAATGATTGATATTTGTTTGCAGCAATAAATATGTACTTCTAGTGATTTTAATGACGTCTTTTTAAAAAAATTATTTCCAATTTTGTATGAAATATTTGTTTGGTGAAGTAGGAGTTTTTCTAAAAAAATATTTTGGCGAAATCTCTTATTAAATTAATCTAAATAATCGAAGGAATACATTTTTTTTAAAGTTTCAAAGAGATATTGAAAATTTAAAATAAAACTTCCATTCTCGTGGAAAAGTTCTCGATAAAGTAGAAAAATTTAAGTAAATGTTTATGAAAATTGATCAAACCTTGGGAGGATAGAGGATTTCGGCGATACTAGCTTTAATATTTCGTTCAAACTGTAAAGATGTAAATTTTTTTGTTCAACAATATGCTTAAAATATCACTTAAAAGATTAGTTTGTAATAGTTGAATACCCGTTCTTCTTACGGGGGGGGGGGGAAGTAAACAGTCAATAAATCAGTTGTTGTTGTTTCTAATGCCACTTGTCAATACCAGCAAGTCTTCTTGAGGAAACCAGGCGACTTTAAGGCAGGGAGTGCGTTTCCTGCTTTTCAGTGGTCATCTATGGCCAGGAATACGACTTTAGCCACACGCACGTCACAACCAGTTTTAAAGGGTGAACCCATTCATTCATCTCCAGATCGTAATTTTGACCTGAACCAGAAAACGATCAATCTACAGTTCAATACCCCCAGAGGCATGTTTTGTTATGCGAACACGGAGGACTTTGTGAACCGACAGATTTAACGTGCACCAGTTACCATTTACTACACGGGAAGTGTTCGACCGGCTGGTCTTGACGTTTACCAACACAATTAATAAACCTAAAATAATGATTTTTTTAGTATTAATTTTTGTTATTACCGATGGCTTTACGCTATTAGATTAAATGAAATTCGTTTTAGTAGTTAATCCTATCAAAATAAAGATTACCTGCATTTAGATTCATTTGGCATAATGCTCTTGTTCAAGGCAAAAACATAATAGTCAAACTTTTTTCACAATTAAGTGCTTTTTTTATGATACTTATCCTTTTCGATGGCCCATTAGAAACCTCTTTTCCCTTCATCTTTATAATTGCATATTTTTGAAGCAGTTTTAATAGGTACCATATACTAATTGTACCAATTTTAGTGTACTTGGTACTAATTAAAACTACACCAATTACTGTAATACCGAAAGTGCTTATTACCAAAATAAATTAAGAAATGTTGCTGTCATTAATGAAATGGGGATTTTTTTAACGTGTCTCTTAAACGAATTAGTACCATTTGTCCACTAGTTAAGTTCTTTAGCACTTAGCTTAGCATTTTTGTTTTAATTAGTACCCATTATATACATATCAAAATTAATTGAGCATCATTGGCATCAATAATAGTACGGTGATTTCTTGCAGTTCCACTAAATGTATTAATACCTTATTGCTTTTCAGTACATAATTGTTTTTAATTACTTCTTTTAGAACCTTTTAATAAAATTAAGCATCATTAGCACCAGTAGTAGTATACAATAGTTAGCAGCAGTTTGTTTTCCTAAATAACTACTATTTATCCACTAATTTAACTTTTAGTACATAGCTTATTATTTTTTTATTTTAATTAGTACCTAGTATCAAAATTAATCAAACATGTGTTAATGTGTTAATTGTAGTGGTTTCAAACGAATGTGTTAATTGTAGTGATTTCTTTTCCATTCTCCTAAACGAATTAGCTCTATTTCTAAATTAGTTTTTCTTTTATGTGCCTAACTTATTTTTTTATGTCAAATATCTTTGATTTTAAATCATTGAGTTTTATTTAAACTCCTTTTTAAGGCATAACTATAAACAAAATAAACGCGTCTTTTCAGGTAAATTTAAGAGTGCTAATTTCGTGACGTAGTCTTTGCTGCCATGTTCAAGCTGATCATTGCATTTACCTGACATATAACATTTTTCAACATTTTTCAAATTCGTTAATGATTTTAGATGTAGTCTTCATAAGGAAAGAAAATATTACTTATTTAAAAATATAACTTCAGATGATTTTATCAAAGCACAATTGTGAACAAATAAAAATTGTCCCATTTTTAAATTGTTTAATGATTTTAAAAGCAGCTTTTCTGAGGAAATAAATATTTTTTTTTTTTTTAAACTTTGAAAATATTAATTTAGACAATTTCATAGGAAAGGAAATATGAAAAAAATTTGACCACATCTTGTGGATCGTTTTTAATTTTAAAGATAGCTTTAAAGGTTAAATTTTATTCGAAATTTTGAAAAAATATTTCCGCATTATTGGCTTAAATATTAATTGGCAAAAAATTGTGAAAAAATGCACATTTTTGTTTAATAATTTTGGAGTCAGCTTTGCAAGAGAAATAAACTATACTACATTCAAAATTGAAAAAGAATGTTTCAGACGATTTAATGGAAATGAAATTGTGAGAAAAAAATTTATTTTCATTGTCAGACGATTAGTTAACAACAAGCAACATTATTCTTTTTCATTTACATTCCAGACTTTCTGCGTGATTGCAAAAAGGTCTTCCAGTTATTATTTGTACAGATATTCTGCCGAAGATTCATTATTTCTTTTTAGCCCATGGTCCATAATTAGAAGATATGCAATTAGAATTTCTTGTCACAGGTAAGTTTTGATATCTTTTTATTATAAAACTATTCTTTATTACATAAAGTTTTCTTTGGCAAATTTTTAAATTAACAGTGTCGTTTGCTTATCTTTTGAAACAAGCTTTTGAATTCCTTGATATTTGATTTAAAATAGAGAATTGTTAAAAACAATAGCGTCAAACTTAGATCTTTTTGTCCAATTTAAACTTAGCAAATCTCTTCTTCCCCTCTTAACTTTTGATGACTGTATTTAACATTTTCTCTGAAATAAATTTTTTTAATTTTATGAACGTAAAAAGTTTTATCTCTTAACTAAAAACCTAAAATAATTTCTGATTTTAAGAATTTGGGTGTTTTTCTTTTAGGTATTTTGAATTAGTGGTTATGACCACAATTCTTATCAACTGCGTCTTCCTAGCTCTATCACAGCCAATTGAAGAGACCGAGTAAGTTTAATTTCAGAATATCTTTGAAAAAGAACTTATTTTTATCAGTAGGTGTAAATAATATGTTAAATATTTTTACAAACTGAGCAAAAATATTTAACATATTATTTACAATAATTACAATTTTAAATTTTGTGCTTTTATAACTACAATGATATGGAAATACAAAGTAACCAGATATGAAAATATATAATAACATATTATTAATCAAAAAATTTATACAATGTAATGTTGAAATTTTTAACTTTTATCTTTATTTATTTATTATTATCTCACATAGTTAGAATTGCTTTTTTTGATAATTTTTGTTTTAAATATGGCTTTCATTGTTATTTAGTTAACGGTTGGAAAATAACGTACTCGGGAATAACGTATGGTTGGAAAATAACGTACTCGTTCTTTCTTTTTCTATCTTTTTATTTTGTAGATTAGTAATATTCCTGTAAAGACCTTGTGCTAAGTGGCTACATTTAACGAGAATAAAAATGCTTTGAAACAGCTTCCTAATAATGATAATTTTTTAAGTTCAGTCACTTAACACTTTCTTTTCAATCTTTGATTGTTCTTAAAATTTAATTACCTTGATCTCTTTCATATTTTCTACATAGTAATGTATTACATTGGGGATCAATTTTTTTGTTGTTTTCTATTGCATGAGATTTTTTAACGAGATCCTAAGTACCTCCGTATGGCTGATTTCAAATCTGCAATCAGTTACCCTCTCTATGCTACAGTTCTCTTTAAATTAAATTTAAGAATGAAACTTTCAGTCTAATTTTTGTTGAAACGTAAAAGTTTAAAAACGCTATATTTAACAGGAGATCGCATAAATGATTAGGCAAACTTCTAGGGGAGTTAAGGCATATAATCAGGATTAAAATTGCATAGAACCCATGCCCGAAAATTTTGTCTTATTGCGCTTCCTTATTATGAACTGTTTCTTCGTGTGCTTCTGAGCATGTCATAATAGAGATGCATCCCTAGCCGCGTACAGCAGCATTTCTGAGCATATGTGCCTCCTGACGATAATTCTGATTTTAATCCTGACGATATGCCCTAAGTCCCCTAGAAGTTTGTCTAAGCAGTTACGCACCCTCTGTTATGCAATGAATTTTTTAAGTTTACATATTTCAATAAGAAATAGACAAAAAAAATGTCATTTATAAGAATCTGTTGTTTTGGGAACAAAACTAAGTTTAGATTTGAAATCCCTTATCCCAAATTAGGCAAGATCAAGTATTTGAATAAATACAGCAAAGAACTTGCTCTAGAGTGTTATGCGTTATGCTATGTAATCTTATTTTGATCATGTCTAACTTATAAACCATACCTTGATTTTGGGATGTTTACATTACAGATACGTGTTTCTTGTCATATATACCATTGAAATGATAATCAAAGTAATTGCCAAAGGTTTTATATTAAATAAATATTCTTACTTGCGAAATCCATGGAATTGGCTTGATTTTATTGTAGTACTTTCTGGGTGAGTAATTTTTACGTATCTTTGTAAATTTGGTAATAAATAAATGTTTAATGGTTGATAACTTGTTAAAATATTAGTCAAAAATAATTTTTCATCTAATTTATCTAAATTTATCAAAAATAAATAATATACGATAATTCAAAATAGTTTTTTTGGCAAAATGCTTTCTTGCTCTTGGTTTTTTACAGGTTATTTTTTACAGGTATATTACCCTGAGCTTACAAGCCATAGGGGTAGCTATAGGAAATTTATCCGGACTTCGCACATTTCGAGTGCTCAGAGCTCTTAAAACAGTGTCAATAACTCCAGGTAATTATAAAATATATAAGTTTATACGTAGTATATTATTAACACTTTGCAGAATTTTCATTAAAGATATTTTTCATACTTTTTTTCATTAATTTGTTTTAATTTAGGCCAAAATAAGTAAAAAATTATACTCAGCTTTTTAATAAATTTCGGTTATGAAATAAAGCATGTAACACCGGGTGTTCCTTTCTGTGTTAAAGGTAAAATTCTCCGACAATTTTTCTAATTTACAATTATTCGTAGTTATTTAGATCTAAGAGGAACAGAAATTCATTATTGCTTTTTTTTTAATTCACAAAATCAATTATTGTTAAATTTTTGAATGTGAATGAAACAAAATTTCAAACTACTTTTTTGAATTTTATATTTTAATAAAAATAAAAATCCGATGATCTAACAGACATAACTATTAAACTGCTTTTTTTTATAATTAAATCATTATTTTTGCTTATTAAATCATTATTTATGCTTAAATCATTATTAAAAAATATATAAAAAGGAATACCGACGACCCATCTGCGCCGGTTAATAAAAACGAAATTATTTTAAAAGCGATAAAATTTTTTAAATAATTTAATAAAATCGTCTCATTTCATAGAAAAAAAAAGTTGTTTTTTATAAATTAATGCTGGAATAAATACTATAAGTCTATTGTCTTATGGCATTATTTTAAAAACTCATTCACTAAAATTATCAATTTCGAAGTAAATGTTTTTTTAATATCAGTTATATTTTCTATATCTGTTTAGCAATAAATATGTATAAATTCTTATATGGTTTGAAACCATTCTGTCAAAATTGCTAAATAAAATCGATTTGCCATAATTTTTATTTCTAAAATGTATCTTTAATTTATTTTAATTGTAGGACTTAAAACTATAGTCAATGCCATGCTGCATTCAATGGGGATGTTGCTGGAAGTTATGACATTAACAGTGTTTTGTTTGATGGTTTTTGCACTTCTTGCTTTGCAGGTAGTTTTCTGTAGCATTTCGTTTTGAGTTTTCGAATGTAATTTCGAACTATTAATTTATGTTGTAGGAAACTAAATTTCATTAAAGGAAATTCGAGAATGCTATTCGTGAGAAATTTTTTGTTCCGCTTTGTATAAACTATCAATTAATGCTTGTAATTCACATTTAAGAAAAATAAATGAATAAAAATTATTATTATTAAGATTTTGATAAAACTATACCTTCTTAATGTTACCTTGTTAACCATGTAAAATAAGATTAAATATTCGAAACTTGATTGCTCGTTACCTGTTGAGTCAGTTGTAAATTAATTATATTGTCAAATCAATTAAAATCAAATCAATCAAAAATTAAACTGATTGTATACGTAGCAATTAAAAAAGCTAAGGATAACCATTGCTTGGGTTCTGATAACGAGAGCGGCATTGATATTTTTTAATTAAAATAATTTTAAATTTTTCCAAAAGTGTTTTAATGAAAAAGATTACTTTTGTTCTTTTTTAATAAATTTTTTTTAAATGTTTATATTTTAGTTTTGTTATTTACAGTTGTGTTTACAGTAATTTTGAGTTTTCTAATTTTTTGTTTTTTCTATCCTCTATAATTTAATTCACCTTTTAAAGTTAATTAAGAAAAGATAAATTAAAAAAACAGCAAAATTATTTAATTAATTTTCTTATACTTTCCGAAAAGCCATAAAATATTCAATGTTATCCTGATATTTCCATTTCCTTTTATTATTTATTTTTCTTATATATTTTAATTAAAAGATTAATTAAAATATATTGTACAATATTTTTTTTATTTGAAAGCTAAAGTATTGCAACTAGTAAATGCTTATTATAAATTACAATAGAACAACACTAATTTTTCTGATAATATTGTTATTGAAATTACTCTTGTTTGTTTTGTTACTCCCTTTAGTTTTTTTTTGTTGGCATTATAGAAAGAAGAAATATTTTCCCGCACTAAAGGACTAATCTTTCATTCTTTGAGAAAGCAATTACCCATTTTTTTTCGTAATCTTTACTCAGACGAACACACATGTCCTATTTGAATTACTATTCCCATTACTTTCAGGACTAAACATATTTTTAAAGGTCAAACTCTATGTTCACTATGTTCTACGCCTTATTCAAATATTCAGGTTGATGTACTTATTTCGGGAATAACTCAGTTTGACGAATATGTAAAGATCCAATCAGACTTTCCTTTTAAAAACTAAATTAAATGTTTGAATGACACGTGTCTGTTCATGTCTTCATAACGACTTTAAAATACTATTTATACAAAACTATCATATTCGTGGCAAGTAAAATATGTTATATGTTGTGCAATATGGAATTTATAAATTTACTTTCACTATTTAGGAGAGTTTTTTTTCTCCTGAATAATATAAAAAAGGAGAACTACACTTTAGTTTTTAGATTAAATGAATATATTTTTAATAAAGTATTGTAAAATAGCAATTAACGAAAATAGCCCTTTTTTAAGAGGCCAATCAAGCGTAAAATAAAAGTTGAAATTTTCAACCAATTTTCATTTAAAAAATATTTTGAAATTCTTTTTTTAAATTCGATAAGTTTTGTTACATATTGTATATATAATTACTTATTGCATAAAAATTGTAGAGTGTTATTTATAATATCCATTTTTTTAATGCTTTTCGATTAATCTTTTTTGATTGGTATTAAACTGTTGAAAAAAAGAACTGTTGAAAAATGTTAAACAAAAAAAGTGACTTTAACTTTTTTCACTTTTCTTCAAAACTGTTCCAACGAAATGCTACAGTTTTATGTCAGATTTGAATTAATTTACTCATAAAAATGTCTAGGAATAATATCCCAATAAATTTTTTTCCAATATTAATGATTGTTTCTCTTTAGTTTTTAAAGTTTAATAAAGGAAAAATGAGAAAACACAATTGAAAAATTAAGCTTTATTCAATTCGATTCTTGAAAACTGAAGTAAGGATTAAAAAGCATATAATAATGATAATAAATAATATAACTAACTCTATAAAAATTTATATTAATAATTATTTAATATAAATGACTTGAATAAATAAGAAAGCTTTATTATTTCCTTATTATTTATAATTGTGGTATTCTGTGAGACAAATTTAACATAAGTGCTAAATTAGAAACTTAGATATTTCTACTTACTCATAATTATTGACCATCAGGAATTTCCCCCTCAATTTTCATTATATTTAAAAAAAAATTTCTGTATTATTCAAACCTTTTAAATTTGTAATAATAAAAAAATATTAAAGGAATTTTTTTTTATTATTTATAATTTTAGCTTTACATTGGATTATTACGACAAAAATGTGTTAGAAGTTTCACATTCGGGAATATTTCTCATCGAGCTTATCATCTTCATGTCAGTAATCGGTCATCATGGCTTTTGGACGTCGATGGACAACCAACTGTGTGTGGGAACAAAACAGGAGCTAGGTAAGTCTGATTTTTAGTTTTTTTTAAAGTTTTTTTTTATTAATTTTAATTTTCAGAAAATTCATATTTCCCTCATATATCAACTTTCCCTTTAATAACCGATCTGTACATATAAGAGGCACATAGGGTGTTCCACAATCACCACCCCTAATATAAATTTTAAAAATTCTGTTAAAAACGATGTAAAAAAGTGAAGGTAAGTACATTAAGGATCGTAAAGGTAAATAAGTAGTAAAGTAAATAAATAGTAATAAAGGTAAATAAGTAGCAAAGATGAGCAATTAAGATTTAATGCGTGGAAAAGAACGCAATACTCTATAGCAGAGGTCGCCAAAGTGGTCTATATGGACCCCCAGGGGTCTATTTAAGAAAAGCGGTGGTCGATCTGAGACAGGGGGGCGAATGGGGGTCGATCCGATTCGGAAGGGTCGATTGTGGGTCGAAAAAGTTCTCAATACGCAAATCATACATACCTATCTAAGTATGTAACATTTGTGACTTTTTTTTATATAATTGACTCAATATCAGTTTCTTTATAAAACATAAATTAACAAACGTATATTTATTGGGGTGAAACAAGTATTTACGTACCACCGCTCATTGGCACGAACTCAGCGCAGTTTATAAGTCATATGCATATGTGCGCTTGTCCAAATGTCACGTGTGACGAGCATTGACGTTACAAATGCAAATATCATACGCAGTTTCAGCTACCTTTGCTAACTGTGTTGAATATTTGCAGTGTCATTATTAAAACTTTTACAGTTTTGGATAATTAGTTATTGTTTCGATAAAGCCATTCGTTTAGTTTAGATATCAATTTCAATTATCAATGCACAAAAAAGAAGGTAAGCATTAATAATATGGATTAGTACAGTCCGAGACAAAAATATAGCACACTTTGTATTTTTTTACGAAAATTACAAAATTGACCAATTTTGACGAAAATTAAAATTGACCAATTTTGAACCCAATATAGCGAACCTTGCAAAAACAACACCAGGCACACCCATCTCATTGATCAAGAAACAGTAAATCTTTAGTTACTTTACTTATTATATCTATTTATGCATAGTTACTTATTATTTAATAATAAGGTATTTAAATTTCAATATTAATATATTTTTCATAAAACTATTTTTATACAATGTACTATTACTTTAATAAATGTTTAAAATCATAAAATAAATGTACAAACACAGTATCTAATAGAGTTTTATTTTAATTAGCAGAAAATTACTTTTGTGGGGGTCGATTGAGATTTCGAAAAATTATATAGGGGTCGATGATCAATGTTGGCGATCCCTGCTCTATAGGAATCTTTAGAATCTCTAGTGAGGAAGGGAAAAGAAAAATTTCAAAACCAGGTTGGTAGCATTATGAATTGGAGGTGTTTCTAATAATCCTATTTCAACTCCTCTTTTTCTTCGGCAATCAAACATGTTTTGGTAGTTTTTTTTTATCATGTCTTTCTCAGTAGGAATTTTTTTTCATTTCAATAATGCGTTTGTTTTTTCCACTTTTAAAATCAATGCATTATGAACATATTATTTGTTTAATTTTTACTATTTTATTTTTTCATAGAAAAAACGTTAGTGGAGTACGGTTCATTAGTTTCTAATTTAAAACATTTCATCCAAGAGTTTTAAGTACATTTTATTATTGAACTATTCACGAAGTATATTTTTTATATGAGTAGGTCTTAGAATTTTTTTTTTTAACTTTGGCTAAAAAGTTTGGGTATTTTTTTCAATTTGCGATTTTTTTAAAAAAATATACTACTTTAAACACGATTTTTTTGCATGTAAAATACTGCGTCACGTTTAGTTTCAAATGCAGCAAAATAATATTTCATAATAAATGAAAAACCTATGATTTTCTAAATATATATTCCGCAAAACCATTTCTCGAAATTTCTTTTCAAGTTACAATTTTTTACGGGTACTTACTGTATAGATCTTAGTGAAAATAAAGCCTCTAATGATATACTTTTTCAAAAACTTGAAAGAGGAAAAGCTATTTCTACTTATGTTGTTAGCGTGATGATTCCTATCAAAATAAAACTACCTTTGCTGATAGAACTCTTTCTTACTAAAATCAATAAACAAAAGACATTTAAGCTGCGTCAACAGTGTTATTATTTTATATTATTGCAATCATAATATCATATTTTATCCCCGAAAAACTTTTCTATAGATTCTTGGCATCTTTGACATATGCTGTCACAACTGTCAGAAAAATTCATAAAATATTCATAAACTTTCCGAATCTTAATTAAAGTAGAGTACATAAGATACTAAGATAAAGCAATTTTTATTGACGAAACCAGCCGATAGTTTATTATATTTTTGCTCCTTCAAATGAGTTATTATTAATAATGTATTCGTCTTTACTCATTCACATTTTCTTTTGTTAAATAATCGAAACTTTTACCTTATTCACTTTACATTACACTTTACCTTATTCACTTTATGTTATTCACTTTAACCTTATTCACAAATTATTTTTAAATTTTTGAACTTGGTAATTAAAATAAATGATTGTAAAACATATAGTTGTTTCTCAAATATGTTTATTACATATGAATTATAAATACGTTTAAAATAGGATAATTATAGAATTTTTTTTTTGTCTCTTTTCGAACTATTGAAATTATAAATAAATGGGTCAAAATTATGGTTATTTTACCATTAATTTCAAAATAGTCATATCACATGCTTGTAAGTAGTTATAAAAATCAAATTTCATTTCAGTTTGAGGATCTCAATTCAGGATCAAGTAAAAAATTTTAATATTTGCTTTCTATGAGTTTTGGTGTTATTTTAGAATAAAGGAAAATAGGGCAATTTACTAGGCATTTCGAAATTGAATAAAATAAAAAATATTCTTTTAAATTCTGATTTCAAAGTTTGCTTTTAATAAATTTGAATGTGATGTGATATATGTGAAAAATATCTTAGCACAAGTGCATAATATTTACTACACACATTGTAAAAAAATTTTTTAATTTACAAAAGGAAACTGTCAGCTTGTGTGCCGGTATGAAACAGTTTATTTTGCAAAAAAAATACTGTTATTTAAAAATGAACGCCTGTTTTAAAAACAGATAAGTACTATTGTTTTCTTGCTTTAACAAACAAACTCAGTTATTTTAATAAAAAAATTTGTTATTTTAACAAAAAAAGAAAGAAAAAAAGAAGCCTCTATGAGATACTTACGTCAGCATTGTGATCTAAATAAAAAAAAAGGTAAATTTTGTACTGTGTTAAAAGCTAAGTTAAAACTTTTTTTCTTAACTGATTTGAAAGGAATAAATGAAACTTGAAGGGAATAAATTACAAATACTTGCTTTAAAAATAAATTTTTATTATGTTTCTAAAGAAAATTCATCTCAACCTCACCCTGTAAGAGATAGAACGAAATGTCACTAAGCGATTTTTAACTACAATTCTATAAAAGATTAAAAATACGGAAACGATACGATAATCGATTTAAAAAAATTATAAATAATAATTATACTTAAAAATATGCAAACGATAGTTCTCTGTTGTAATACTTTGCATACTGAATATGGATAAAATTAAAACAACATGGAAGATTTCATATATTATAAGCAATAATAATTTGTTTCCTTCTTCAATGAAGCACAGCAATGGAACATAGAATCGAACACACATTTCTGTGATTCGACATTAAAGAAAACGATTTATTGTAGTACCGGAATGAGTGTAGGCCAAGTGACGCTATTTGTGCTTTTTTCCTTTGTTTTGGCTTTATTCAAAAAATTAGATAGTTAACGAGTTCATTTAATTGACTGAAGCAATTATGCGCGTGTAGTTACTTTTTTTAAACATTCCTTCTTTTTTAACTTTAAACCTGACAAAGAAGTAAACAGAAATACATAAATGCTCATGATGTTATGTTATTTAACAGGAACTGCCCAGAAGGATATGTTTGTCTTCCAAACTTAGGAGAAAACCCGAATTTCGGTTACACAAATTTTGATTCCTATGGCTGGGCTTTACTTACTGCATTCCAACTTATCACTTTGGACTACTGGGAAGACGTATATAACAAGGTACATTACTCCTTATCGTTTTATTTATTTCAAATTATTAAAATTAAAAAAAGAACATACAAAGGTGATTTCATGTTTATAGAGTTGTTTCTTATACTAAATTACACTTAAATATTATTAAAAAAATGAAAAAATCTCGTAATAGCCAATTGTATGTAGCCAATTAGGAATCATATAGCTTAAAACTCCACATTTCAAGATCAATGGAATGATGGTAGCAATCAACGCGCCATCCACCTTTATTTCCCGAAAAGCTGGTTTCCAGAGATCTGAAGCTGGAGTGGTTTCAAGCTGCCGGTGTCAGTGTCTTTCGTAGTGACTTTTAGTGTCTTTCATAATGACTTTCAGTGTCTTTCATAATGACTTTCAGTGTCTTTCATAATGACTTTCATCAGTGCTCTCATCACTGAGTCTTTGAAACTCTATATATAGTTTTAAAAAAATCCTAAATATATTATTATAAAAATGTGTATTTTATTTGGCGAAATGAAAGTATTTCGTTACTGCAATGATGAGGGGGTTTGCTTCTTAAAATTTGGTCTTGTTCACCTTCCAATAACCACGGATGCTGAGCTGGCATGAAATTCCAGGATGCCCTATCCTAAAATGTGAATATAATAGAAAGTAGGCATACGGGAAAACGGAAATTCTGGTAAAATTACCCTGTGTGGCATTTCAAATAAAAATACAATGCTTAAGCCATTCATTTGGTAATTTAACCGTTCATATAGTAACGGTTGACTATAAATTCTGGTTTTCAAAATTATAGTTCCTATTACCACGCATTTTGTGGAAAATACAAAAGTGAAATGTAAAACTTAGCGAATAAACGGTTTTCATGCAATGCTATAAATCATCATAAAATTCTATCATCAATCTATTCATATTCTATCTATCATCATAAAATTACCAAATTTTACCACGTTTACTAAATTTTATAACATATTATAAAACAATATATTGTTAATATCACTAAAATCATTACCAAAGCGCTTCTGTAAAAAGTACCGAGAATTTCAGTCTTCCCATAGAGCCAGAAACACTGTAATTTTACCATATTCTAGTAATTCTGACCATACTTTTTTTTCTTAAGACTTTAAAATTATGCTTTATACTTAAACTAAAGATGTAAAATAAAAATCTCAAGTTTATCTTTTTGATACGCGCTTTGAGGCTCCAAATTAAATTCGATAAATCAAAATTTATGGACTATTAATTTATCCAAATTTACTAAAAAGCACTTTCGTTTACTTTAAGAAACCAATCTGAGTTCATTAATCTTTAAAATCGTTGTTCACAGATTAATGCCACGACAGGTCCTACAAGTGTGTTCTTCTTCATGCTTGTCATATTTTTTGGTTCATTTTATCTCATCAATTTAACACTTGCTGTGGTAGCTATAGCCTACGAAGAGGAAGCTGCAACAACTTTAAGAGTAAGTATAACTGCTTTTTACATATTTATTATAAACTCGCTACTTTTGATTACATAAATATTCACAGAAAGTATCAGACATTTGTCTAGCTAAAAAATAAAATAATCAGATGTAAAGCATTTGCAGACAAATTAAATAAAAAATAATTGATAATGAAAAAAAAAAGCTTTTTTTAATGCTCAAGCAAAGATCAAGTATGCTCAATGAAATGATTTAGAAGTAAGAATGACAGTCACTGTCCAATTTAAGTTGTGGTCCATAGCTAAACAACCATGTATACAGAGATATCACTTCAGGAAAGTGCCATGCTGACACGTTTTCTGGAGTGCAAGAGATTAACCATCATGGATTGCACATATAACAGCGATCTCTTGGATTGCACATATAACAGTCCCCAAGCACTTAAGTGTGCATTTATAAAATTTAGTTATAGCTTAAAAGGAATAGTAACAGTTACTTTTAAGTAAAATGTCGTGGCTAATACGATTCAAAGCATAACTGAATATAGATATCATTTGTATGTTTTTTCTATTAATATTAACTTTCGTATAACTTCATATCCTTGAACAGCAGTAAATGATATCTTTTTTGATCGAAATGTAATTGTTGATTTCAATTTTTTACATTTACTGAAATATAATCAAATAACAGTTTCTCTGAATTCGTTTTCATTGTGTTAATGAATTCTAGCAGAAAGTTAGTCTCATATTCATTTAGTACAGTAAAAATAAGGCTTAAACCTGGCATAAGAATCAGGCTTAGACCATAGAAGGAAGAATAAGGCTTATGAATCATTTTACCCTTCGAAAAAATGATGAATTCTCCTTGAAACTTTTTTTGAAAAGAACTCTCCTTGGCACAAAGTCTACGACAGTCTGCTGCTATGGAAACAAGAAACAGCGAATTCAAAGAGGGGAGCTTCTCTCTTACCTGATTCACTTTCCCTCACTGACCTGACGCAAAACCTGTCAAATATTGACTCAACTTATACTTACAACTCAACAATATTACTTCAAAAAGCTAAATGTCGCAAATATAGTGCTCCAGACGAATGGTGAAGGGAGTTCTTTCCAAAGACAAACTTAGAGGTACCTTCTATTAGTAAGAAGTAAAAAATTGCACGACCTCTCACGTCGGGTTTTGGTGGAAGAGGTTGAAAAAGGGAAGGTAAATATTGCAATCTAAAAAAAAGAAAATAAAAGAACGGTATTTTTTCCGATGTATTTTGAGACTGAATAGAATGGTATCAAGCTACAAAAAACAATAAAAGTAATAGTTTAGATGTTATATTGGTTTGTAAGAATAAAAATCTAATGTTTTTCTTGCATCTATTTGTACATCTGACATAATAATCTAGAGAAATTGAGTATTGTTCTCGTTTTCAATCACAATTCAAAGCACAATCAAACCCAAGTCAAAAGAACTATAATAGCTCAGAAGTTGAAAGAGTTTTATGCATAAAAGGTACTATTATTAAATTGCACTTGTTTGCATTTTTGGCGTTGCTATTTCGTGTCTATCATTGCTAGTGAGGTAAAAAAAAAAACGTAACCGACATAACTTTTTCTCGAAACTGACCAATGACGTATTTTTAAATTATGACATATCTTGTCCTTCTTCTAAGATTTCCAAATTGCTTTGTCAAATATTTTCCAGGAGCAAGATCGCATTCGCAGATTTAGAGTGAGTTTTCCAACACGATTGTATTCAACATTTCTGGCCTTACGAGCTCAAACTCAGGTGTTTAGACATCCTTTTAGCAGAGTTTCTCAACAACCGCAGAGATGGTGCAGTCCAAGAAAGGGTGCTGGGCTTCCCAATTCCACAAGAATTACTACTACGAAAATACCTGTACCTAGAAGTGAGTCCTTCAGAACAACGCAACCCACTGCTCAAAGTAATAATGCATTTTCATCTATCTTTTTTTTCTTCCTTCTTTGCTTTTTTTCTGATTCAACAATTTGTAATTACTAAGGCCCGGATTTTGATGACATTTGCATTTTTTTGCATTTTTTGCATTTTTGGACATTTTTTGTCTTTTAGAGCATTTTTTTAGATTTATAGGGCATTTTTCTTTAAATTTTGGGGCGTATTTTGCATTTTAATGCATTTTTTAAAGTTTTCTGTTAATTTTTTCCAATTTTTATTATTTTTTATCAATTTTCATTATTACACTGGCTTCCAAACAATGAAGAAAATCTATAGGATATTAACAGGTGAAGCAAAATCTTTTCAAATTGAAGAAGAATTGTCAGTAAGTGAGACCGTCTTTTTCAAGTACGCACCTATAACATCAGTAGACGTTGAAAGAAGCTTCTGCAGGAATGAAAATTTACTTTCAGACAAGAGACGCTCGTTTACATTTCAAATTATCAAAAAACATTTAATAATCCAATGTAATTCTGATATTTAGTAATATTATGAGATGGAAGTTGTTATATCCATTAAAGTTTCTATACAAAAGAAAAATATTTTGGTGTCAATATATTTTCCTTTTTTTGTTATTTTAGGATATAAAACATATTTTTCAAACTTTAATGAACGTAGAACAAGTATTGCATTGCTTTATATTTTTTAAATGACTCATAATAATTTTAAAGAGCAAAACATTTTTTTAATTCCATATTTTTACTTTATTTAAGGCATTTTTTGCACAATTTTTGCATTTTTAAGGGCATTTTTTGCATTTTTCAAGGGCATTAGTTGAGATTTTTTAGGTCATCAAAATCCGGGCTCTAGTAATTACATAATAAATATTTCTAATAGCATTATGTATAGAAGTTTAATCAATAGTAGGGTATTTTTTAGAATGCTAATCTAAGTCAATTGGTTGATAAAGTATCCGACAGGTTTCGACACAATTTTAAAAAAAACAGTTTAATTAAAATTTTAATTTTATGAATGGTAATCAGGGATTCTAAAATTATAAATTTAAAGTAAAGCTTAAAAATTTTTAAAATATTTTTCCAAAATAAGGGCAAATTTGAGCTTAAAACTTGTCATGTTGTGCAAGCAGCTCTACAATAAATTGTAATGCATTAATTTCGAAATAGTTATTTTTCTGTATCAATAATGTAAATACCTGTGTTTTAAACTGAAATCTTAAAAAAAAATTAAAATAAAATGGAAATAAATATTGAATTTTTTAAGGAAAAATTCAAAATATTTTCACTTAAAGCTTGATAAAGATAACAAATTTGGACTTAAACCTTAGCTTTTAATTCAAAACGTAGCTAACATTATACAAAATCTACACACAAAATTTCTAAGAATTCTATGATAAATTTTTTCTGCAATGTGGGTTAGCGTAAATAAATTTTCTGAAAATACAAATTTTTCAGAAAATGCATTTAAAATTCGAGAAAATTCGGACAGCAAAAAAAATTAAAAATTTGAAAATTAATATCTGAAATTGAATTTTATTTGTCTTAAATATATAATTTCTTCAAACATAAAAAGGCTAAAATACTCAAAACGTGAAAGAAAAATTAAAAATAAATATATATATTAGTTTCGTTTTCGGGAGTTAACTTCGGGGTTTGGTTTCGTCTGTCTGCAAACGAAAAAACAATGATAACTTCATTTCTGAAAATCGGAAACATTTAAGGGTTTTGGAAAGCTAATATACTAAAGTAAAAATATGAATAATATTAAAAAAATCGACATTTTCGTCGAAATGATCTATTTTTACATAGTTGGATAGCTTTGATTTTTAAAATTAAAAGAAAATACATAGGAAATACCTTGTATTTACAAATCTATCTTTATATTATAATAAAAATGTTAACATTTTAATTTTCAACTAACGCACGCCTTATTACGATAGATTTTTTTCTTTTAAATTTTTTTTTTATTTCCAATGCAGCAGGCGATACGGACATTATCCTAACGCCGTACAGAGATCAAAATAAAACAAAAATACAAATACAGAAGGAGATGAAATATACAAAATACAAAAACAAAAGCAAAACATCAAACACAAAAATTAATTCAAGAACTTAAATTGAACAAAAGTTCTCTGGCCTCCCAGTATCGGGAGTAGATGCAGTTCTTTGTGAGAACTGAACAGTTTAGAAGATGTCCAGCATTCATCGTCGCACCACTGCGGCAGAGGGGGCAGGCAGGATTATCCACTATTTTAAGACGGAAAAGATGGTCGTATAAGCAATCGTGCTTGGTAGCAAGACGAAAGGCAGCTACAGCACTGCTTCTTGGGCAATCGGGGAGATTAAAGATGTCATTTCCCCACGATTTTTCTTTTGTTCGTTCTTTTAGCAATGATATATGTGTTGTTTTAATTGCATGATTAATCATTAATGAAGTGGACTTATAGCTAACCAAGTTATTTGGGGCTTGATTAACAAAGCAACCTTTTTTGGCCAGTGCATCAGCTTTTTCGTTGCCAGGGATACCACAGTGGGATGGGATCCATTGTAAGGCAATCGTTTTATGTTTTTCACCTATCTCTGTCATTAAAGATCTACATTTCACAATGGACAAAGAGCTAGGGGCTTGAGAGTAGTTGGAAATGGCCAGAATCGCAGCTTGGGAATCCGAGAAGATGACAGCTTGATCGTAAAGAGAAGGACGAGCATTTAAATTAGTTAAAGCTACTTTGATTGCCTCAACCTCACCATCAAAGGCGGTCTTGGCTGTTCCCAACGAAAGATAGTGGGAGAAATGCTCACAGAAAATACCAGCACCGGCAACGCCATCCATCTCAAGCTTTGAGCCATCTGTGTATACGTGCAACCATGCTTCAAGAGGAAAACGATTGTGGATGGTCTCCATGCCCGCGCTGAACAAAGCTGCTGCACAATCCTGGGCTTTTAAGACAGGACTCATAAGGTCCAGGTGATATAATATTTTGCTAGCTTCCATAGGATTTAAGGGGGGGAGCAAAGGTTCAATCCGGGAAGATATATCAAATTCATCCATCACTTTTAATACAGCTTGAAGGTAGCCGTCCTGTGTCTTCAGCCTACGAGGTTCAGATTCGGTCAACATATCGCTATGAGGAAGACGAATCAGCCTCTGATAAAGCTTCAAAGCCGATTTCTTTATTTCATATTGCATAGGGAATTCATTGGTATATAGTAGAAGTGCGTCAATAGGTGTGGTCTTGACAGCACCGGTGACAAGACGAAGTGCATTATTTTGCAGTCGTTCCAGTCTATTTATACCTCCCTCAGATACTGTAATAAGAGGAGCGTTACAGTAAGTCATGACAGGTTTTATAAAAGTCTTATAGGTATCAAGTAGAGTTGTGGTAGCACAGCCCCACCTAACTCCTGCGAGGCGTTTAAGGAGTATCATACGCTTCTCAGCCCGTTGCTTGATATCATCAATATATAATTTCCAAGTGAGTTTACGATCGAAAATTACTCCCAAGTACTTAGTACTTTCACTACATGGTAGGGCTATATTATTATACGATATATGTAGTTGTAATGGTTGATGACATAATGAAAAGGTTTGGTAGGTTGTTTTCACCGTGTTGACGATCATATTGTTTTCTAGACACCAGGAATAGAGTCTGGACATGGCGTTATTTAGGGAAATTTCAAGTCTCTCGTTTGCTCTTCTTTTGGGGCTAGATGTCCAAATAACATCTGTAATTTTCTTTTAAATTGGTAGTTTGATTAAAATAAATGCTCCTGTAGGTTGGTTAGTAAGTTAACTTGCAAATAAAAGACGTAAGCCAATAATGTTTTTATTTTCAAATTTCAGGTCTGCTCGAAATTTTTTAAAGCATAAATGAAACTTGCAGATGTAATTTCTTTTTAATATTTTCACATTTATGCAAAATATCATTTAGATGCATGGTTCTAAAAACTGTACTTTTAACTATAAGCACTTCTTACTGTTACTTTTCGACATTAATGATACATCAGAAATTGCAAATGAGTTTTTTTTCTTTCTTTCGGGAGTATAATTTTACAACTTTTAACCCTTTATAAGTCCGAGTACTTTAAAAGGCAAATTAATATAGATAAGCACTAAATCATTTAAAATGCAGTATTTTTATATAATTTTTCAAAATTCTTAAAATAATGAGGTACTGGTATATTTTTGAATTTTTGAAATTTTTAGCATAATGTTTTAAAAGTTAAAAAAATTTTTTTTTTAAAAATTATTAATATAATTAATTTTGTTCACCAGGAGTTGGCACTTGGCTCCGCCTTCATCACGTGTAATTCGACGATACTTTCGCTATTTTTGGGAGAAGGATGTAAACAATCCTGAACAAGGTTGCTATTTGGTGATAGTATGACGAAAATATTTATTTCGCAATCTTTATATGTGAATTTTTTTAACATTAAATATTTCATAAATTAAATATTTCTCTCTTTTTAGTGGATAGTTTGTCTTCTTTTGAGACTCTTGTGGGGAAAATACAGCAGATTTTAAATTTAAAATATATTTTATTAGAGCTAGAGTTGCGAAAGATATAATAAATAGCACAATATAAAACGAAGTAACTGAAAAAGAATTCCCTGTTTTTCTTTGGTGCGCATTGAGGGTTGTTTCATTTTCAAGCACGGAGTTGTTTCTCCACTTACTCCCGTGCTGAAATAAACTCTGCTATCGAGGAGGTAGAGTCAAGTGCCAACTCCTGGTGAACGAACTATATTAAGGCATAAAATTTTTTTAATTTAAAGTGGTGACTGTTGATGGCATCATCAGTGGGAAAAGGGTTAATGTATAGATTTTTATGCTCCTAATATTTTTTTAAAATGAAGACCGTCGCTGTTTTCTGAACACCCTGCGTACTCAGATTTAGTAAAGTATTCTTGCAAAAACTGTTTCAAGCGTTTATGAACTAAGAACGTTCAAATTGCTAAACCATTGAACATTTAAACAGGGTAAGTATGCTGTTTGCAGGTCGAGTTTTTACTCCTGGTGAGACTTTATATGAAGAAGATGAAGACGAAGAGTGTTCCTCTCGACGACATGCGAAGTCTTCTACTTCCACGTGCTTAGGAGATACACCGGATATTGTGATCAGTACAGGAGGAACCCTTCCATCTCTTGGCAGAGTATTACGAGACAACTCACGACAAAATGAAACAGTTTGTAATGATTTACTTAATTTTTTTTTATAAATTTAAGAAAATTTGATGGACAATTGCTAAAGAAATAATAAACGTTAGAAAATATGATATGAAATAATAAACGTTGGAAAATTATAAAAATATTAAATAGAATAAACGTTATTAAAAGCATTTCAAGGAAAAATTGAAAAGTATACAGTTTATGCAACACTGTAAACAAGAAACATCGTTATTCACTTCGAAAACATGCAAGTTAGAGATATTAGACGACATCTTTCAGGCGCTCAAAAATAGGCGCTCATTTTCAAGACTTGCCAGATGTGAATGAGAAGAAGCAAAAGTGATTTGTACTATAAAAATATAAAGTTCCAACAAAAATGGTAAAATTGAGATGCGAAACAAATATAGAAAAACCACAGTAACCGATAGAGAAAAAAAATATGAAAAACAAAACAAAAAAACTTACAGTGGTCATTTTTGCTTCACACCTTTTTTCCATTTTCCGTTAGCAACTTTGCGTTTTTTATTTTTCAAATCACTTTTGTTTGTTTTTTCTCATTTACGTCTGGCAAGTCTTGAAAATGAGTGTCTTTTATCGAGCGCTTGAAACATTTCAACTGTTATTTCCAACTTTTATATTTTAGAATTGGATTTAGAATTTTAGTCAAGTAATACCTTACTGCTTCAGTTTGTAGGGATTATTTATTCACAAAAGAATGATCGTGTTAGCAAAAACAAAGGTTTCTTGATCTCTGGGTAGAATAATTAATCTGACGTTAGATAGTTTCCTTCAGTTAATTTTGGTTTAAGTTATTCTTAAGTTATTTGTTGTAGGCTTAAATTCGACAAGTATGAAAATTTCCAATAAATATATATATTATTTTTAAATTTTGAGCATATTATTAAAGTACAGAATATAAATACTTACATATTTTTTCAAAAACACCTGCATTTTCTACTTTTACTACTCAAAAGACCACCCCTCTTTCAATGTTGTGCAAGGAGAAAAAAGATTCTGGGAAAATTACCGTACTGTTAAGTTTTGACATTTCTGCTTTTTTTTTTTTTTTTTTTTTTTTTTTTTTTTTTTTTTTTTTTTTTTTTTTTTTTNTTTTATTTTTTTTTTTTTTTTTTAAAGAAAAAAAAGAAAAACATAATTCTACTTAGTAAAGCCAAAATATACGATATTACAACCATTAATTTGATTATTTTTCCGTTCATATGGTTACCAGTTTACTGGAAATTCAGGTTTTCAAAATTACAGGTCTTATTACCCTACATTTAGTGGGGAAAAAAACAGAAAAGCAAATTTAACCGAATACATGGCTTTTATGCCATAAGATGATAAAAATACTAAATTTTAACATATTAATCAAATTTTATAACACATTACGAAACCATATTTATTTAACATTATAATAACATCTCTCACAGAAATGTCTGTGTAGTTATGTCTTTAAAAAAAATAACGCTATTTAAATGAAATAGCAAATTAAAAATATTTTATAACTTTTTACAAAACAGATTTGAACAATGTGCTATGCTAATCTGCTATAAACCTTCCTCAAACTTACCGGTTTTTCATTAAAAAAGATTAATGTAATTTTACATTAGAAAGAAAATTGGTCAGTTAAAATGATTTATTTATTCCTTAAAAAATATTTCATTAATAATTTGATCTAATGCATTGAAATAAACAATAATAATTTATTGTAAGATTTCAAATATTAGTCGATAACAATTTAAATAAAAATGAGATAAACCAAGTATTCATCGAGCGATTTAGCAGTCTAATCTTCATCTAATGCAATGAAATAAACAATAATAATTTATTGTAAGATTTCAAATATTAGTCGTTAACAATTTAAATAAAAATTAGATGAAATCAAGTATTCTTCGAGCGATTTGGCAGTCTAATCTTTATCTAATGCAATGAAATAGACTATAATAATTTGTTGTATGATTTCAAATATTAGTCGGTAACAATTTAAATAAAAATTAGATAAAATCAAGTATTCATCGAGCGATTTAGAAATTTAGTGAAAGGCACAAAACATATTTTTCAGAAATAAATGTTTCTGTAACGCTTTCCAGAAAAAATATTCCACTGCATTGGTCTATTTTACAGGCAAATCCAATGGTATATAATTTTTGTTGAAGGTTAAAGGTAAAATCCGTTCGTAAATTAAAGCCTTTCCTATTTCTGTCTGGCAACAACCTTCGTCATCATGATTTCTAACAACAGACTTCGGGCAAAGTGAGCTGTGAAAGCTTCACAAAAATGCTTCAATCTTAACCGGCCATCAGACTATAGAAATTAACTCAGAAATAATGATTCCCACTGGAGTGCAGGTCATTATTTAAAGGGATTGCTCGTTGCACTGCTCAGGTAGAACAATTCTCTTCATAGTGACAGGAGAAGAAAAAAAAATTATATAAATCGAACTGAATATTTGGTACAATTTTAGCCGGAGAGAAAGGATTTTGTTCTTTTGTGTTGCTCTACTTTCGGTATTGTTTTGGTTGTTAATTATTTTTACAGAAATGTGTAAGGCGTGGTAGAATTATATCGTGGACGTTGATGAAAGGTTCAATTAGAAAGTTTTTAACGTTTAGAATAAAATGAGAGTTTTTTTTTTTTAATTAAGCTTAGCTTAAACTGTGATGAGATTTAGAAAAATCATTTTAATGGGTAGGATTTTTTCGTTACAAAGATTAAATATTTTCAGTAATAACTGGGATTTTTTCGCAATTATTATTTTACTATATTTTAAATAATGACTTATATCTAATGCCATAGTTGAAAATTAAGTTATAAAAATAATTTAAAATAAGATTTTGTTTTATATTTTAGAGGAATATTCTTTTATTATGCCTTATTTAAACTATGGTGATATTTAGTTTATTGTTTTAAAAGCATATAATTTCTTGTTTTCAGAGAATAATTAATATTAGTATTAATGTAAATATTGTATTTAACAATAATACTTTTGTTAGTGTTATGTTTAAAAATTAACTGTGAAAAACCATTCATTGTTTCTACAATAAATAAATTAATTATTTCTTTAAAAATAAATGAAGTAGTTATTGAATCTAACTAAATATATTAAATAGGAAATAAAACAAAGTGCTTAACATTATGGCATAAATAATACTTTTAAATTAATTTATATTGAGTGCTGTTTATTCTTTATACAGCTAATTATATTGAAAATAGTATTAAAAAAGAACTATTAGCAAATAAATAACAATTTCATGATAGTTTTTCTACCTCAACACAGAATTCTGAAAAACATTTATAATGGTAAATGGGTACTTTTCGGTCAGCCAGGCACAAGGAAATTCAACTATTTTTTTTAAAAAATTTATTTACTTATTTCATTTTATTTAGCTTTAATGTGTTTAAAAAATAGAATTGAAAAAATTGGTGAAAGTCTGTATTTTTGGCGACTTTTCGCTTGCGTTTGGCTAACCGCTAAATATTGCATCTCAAAATATGAAGATTTAAGGCACATTTTTTATTTGTTTATAAAAAAAATTAACCATTTGGTGGTTATAGGTTTTTTTTTCATAATCAAATAGATACGTAGAATTTTTTCCCACGTCATCACATATCATAGTGAAAAGTCATGACTTTAATGTATGACTTGATAATCTCAGTAATCTGAGACTTTATTTTTTTATTTCTCCCATAAATTTGCAAACTATAAATTTTAAAAAAATCATGTAAATATTTTATTCACATTTTAATTAAGTGTTTTAGTTAAATTTGCAATGTATGAAAAATGAAATATGTATGATTGATAATGTAGAATATGAACTCTTTTAGGTCAGAGGCTTTGATGAACGCATTAGAAGATCCTCAAGTGAGCTCAACTTTTCAGCTTCGCGGTTTAGAGAATATTTTGGTAAGTACACGGAGAAAAAATGCTGGTAAAATTACCATACCGTATGGTATTAATATTTTTGGTAAAGAAAAAAACTCATAAAAACCAAACCTTATAAAGCCGCCTATTTTCTTGAGACTGGACATATACTTTAGCTGAGAGGACTAATCTGTCAATCTCATGACCAAATGGACGGGGTTTTCAATCCCAGAGTTGACACCACAATATTTCCTCTATTTATTTCAACTCATGGGAAATTTTAGAAGTGTCCTACACTTTTCAATTGGTGACCTTGGACTATTGGAATATGAAACTTTGATTAACGCATAGATGGCAGTAGTATAGAGTTGCTTCAAACAAAAAAATCTAGTATTTCATAGCTTTCCAGATAGATGGCACCACTAGATAAATTAATTAAGTCGTATTCCACGCTTCCCTTGACAAACCACGACTCAATCGAGCTCTCCAATGTCCATTACTAAGTGAAAAACCTAACCTTAAATAATTCCTGTATAAAGTTTCATTTTTACGGCTTTGATTCCATGCCAATGGTAAATGGTTACAAAATCGTATAGTTTTGCATATACGGTTCCTTGATCATACCAGTTATAGTTTTGTATATACGGTTCCTCAATCCTACTAGTTCCATCAGTTTGGTTTCAAATCCTTAAAGGTAAAGAAATATTCCTAATGGTAAACTTAAAGGTAAATTGGATGAACAGACTGTTGTCGGTTATTTTAATGTAATTTCAGATTGAAATTCCAACAGTGTAGAAACCGTCTTACTTAAACCTGTAGCAGCTTAACTAAATATTTGATATTTCAGAGCACGTTCTAACGTGTAGTAAAGTGAATGTTTAAAATGTATGTAATATTGGTTTGCAAAATGAATAAAATTTTTAATTGAAGTATTTATATCATATATCTTTTACACGTCCATTGCAGGCAACTTTTGTCATCAGTGTACTAGATTATGTCAGACATCTCTGCGAGCTTTTGCACATTTCAGGCACTATTTGGCGGTGACGGTCAATGACTCACTCTTCGATTTGGTGATCACCGTCTGTATTTTGCTCAACACTCTTTTCTTATCCATTGAACATTATGGAATGACGCCATGTACAGAGAGAATTTTGCGTCTTGGTAATCTGGTAAGTGTAGAATAATATATTTCTTGTTGTTGTTAACGTATGCCTGTTAAGGCAGAGGGGTGCGATTGTTCTTGTTTTCCAGTGGCACCATCTATGGTCAAGAATTTGACTTCTGTCACACCCGTTTATAGGGCGAACCTATTTATACATCCATTCATTCATCCTAAGATCGTGATTTTGACATGAATCAGAGATCGATCATTCTCCAGTCCAATACCCCCAGAGGTATTACAGTCGCATAATGACAGTCATGTGACTGTAATACATGATGATACAGTCACATGATTCGTTATGGAAATAATTTACTTATAATATCGCAAATAATACAATTTTGGAAATAATGGAAGAAAATAGAAAAATTAACGATGTAAGTATAAACATTTATTCGCGTTTGCGATTATTTGTTTATTATTGTTATAAAGATACTAGTTTTCTCAAAATTGTAATCAATACATTAAGAAAGTTAATGGAACCCAGGAAAAAAGTTTAATATGCTTCTTTTCATTGGCAAAAATAGGGTTTTATCTGGGCACCTGAAATAAATAAATAAGTCAAATTCGGCACTGCAGCAGATTGTTAGGTACCATCCTTTTAGTAAGTGGTCAAAACTTGCATGAAACTTACATATCAGTTATTGGTAGGAGGAAAAAAAGGTAATAGATAATAAAAACTTAAAAACTACTGCTATGTCAAAACAGGTCTTGTTTCCGATGAAGATTTTTTGCTCTGAATAAATCGAATGAGTTCTAAAACTAATACCTATTTATTATTACACATCAGATATTGGCAGAATGGATAGAATGTAATATATGGTAAGAACTTTGCTACTACTAAGTCAAAATCGGCATTGTTTCTAATGGAGTTTTTTTACACCGATTCGAATGAGGTCAAGATCGTAATGATCAAACTAATTGCTTAGAAGTTATGAGGATTTTATGACAAAAAGTTTAATTTTGTATTTGTACCTATATAACGATCTAACATTGCTATATAGATTAATAAGAAATTCTATCTTATGTATTTTTGAAACCAGACTCGAGTTAACTGGACAAATTGTTGAGAAGCTGCTCGGACTCTAATGTATAAAAAGTATTGTTTTTGACTTGTACTTACTTACACTCTTCACATTGCTATTTAGTATTTATCCAAACAAATAAGACAATCAAAAGAAGATGATAGGAGTAATAGTTTTTGTTACAACGGTTTTATGAACAAAAAGTACAATGCTTGTTTTGCACTTTTTGTTCAAATATAACAACACATCTGACAAGTGAAATAATGTTCCTGAAGCAATTCTTTATACTTTATCGAATTAAAATGAGCTTCGTTGAATTGGGCTGATATTAAGTAAATAATCCCAAAAAACTGTAGCGGTAAGATATTACTTGATTAAAAATTTCATTCACTTAAAATATATATGAATAGGAAGTAATAGTCGACATCCTTTAAGCGCTCAAGCACAGACGCCCATTTTCAAGACTTGCCAGACGTGAATCAGAAAAAAATCATTTTTCTCATTCCCGTCTAGCAAGTCTGTATTTGTCTAAGTGTCCATCAAAAAATCCTCTAAGGAGGCAAATTTCTCCCAATACTTGATTCAGGAGTTTCCTTGTCTTCTGTATTGGGTTCAAGATAACAAGGCTACAGTGTTGAACATTTGTAGTCGTAAACTCAAAATCGGATAGACTGTTCAACGACGATTATAAAATAAAATGAAAAAATTCTTTCACTAATGATTTGATTTTCAGGTTAATTAGGTTAACAATTGTTAACAGGTTCAGGTTAACAATTTGGACAACACGTTTGTACGTGTTATCTAAATTGTTGGAGGAGTTAATCTGAAATATGTTAAATAATAAGTGCAAACAATATTTCAAGTTGCAGCATTACTCACGAAAACGTACTTTCTTTGAATAAGCATACTTTTCCCCCCACTAATTTTTATTTTTGATACTCAAAATATGAGGGGGCCACCTTAAGGTACTCCAACTTTCCAGATTGCTGCAATCCTGATCTTATTTTGACTTTTAAAAATCGAAATTCATTGACAAAATCTATGTTTCTAGTTTTTTTTTTCTATTGACAGTTCTTTAAAAAATATTTTCAGGTTTTTACTGTAATATTTTGCCTGGAAGCCTGCGTTAAGATGCTTGCTTTAGGTCGTGAATATTTCCTCAGCAATTGGAATCTTTTTGATTTTATTGTCGTCATGGTTAGCCTTGCTGATCTCAGTTTTGAAACCGTCGGGGGATTATCAGTTCTTAGAACATTCAGACTGGTGAGTATAAAGATCAAGACTTCTTTAGAATCGCATCCAGAAGCTAGTCTGTAATTTTGTTTTTCGTTTCCAAACTAATTTTTCAGATCTGATTTAAATTTTATAATTCTGAAACTAAGTAAAAGAAATGTTTATTCTGGAAGATATAAACCCTAATTGTGAAAACTGTCTGAAAAACATAGTTTTTTTAAATGGCTAAAAAGTTCCGCATCCTGCTTGTTCCCTGACAAATCTACGTGATTGATTCTAATTCATAATTTTAAAAAAAAATCTGATATTTGATTTAAAAAAAAACAAAAACATATTGTTAATAAAATACATAAATATCAGAATCTTATGCAAGAGTATTTTGCTGATATATTAACACAATCCTGACCGGTCACGAGTTAACTCGTGTTTTCGCTAGCAATGATCTCTCGTGGCGACTATTTTTAAAAGTGGGCGTAATTTTCCTTACTTTTCAAGTTTCACTATTTAAATTCTATACCAATTTATTATAACTTTACAAAACCCGATATATTTGCAAAACTTGTGGTGTACCATTACACATAGGTGATAGTTAACTTTTTATCGAACGGCATTAAAAATTATTAAAGTTTATTTATATTGTTTTACTTCCACATCCGCTTTCATATCTTTATATATATATTTCGTCTGTTCGTGTGTATGTCACTGAACTCCTCCTAAACGGATGGACCGATTTAAATGAAATTTTCTGTGTACCTTCAGAAGGATTCGAGAATGGTTTGTATCTAATTTTTTTTCATTTTTAGGACAAATTTAACGTATATTTTAAATATATCTTTATTTAATCGTATTCGGATCCAAACTAGACATAGAAACATAATAAATCAAAAATAATATTCACGCACGTTGCAACAAGTCATATTAAACTCTAATACTTATGCATGCCCTTAAAAGAAGAGCATCAAATATATTTGCAAGTATGTGAATAAAGGCAATGATATAGCAGTATTTCGAGTTGAAAATACCAATGTGACTGCTCTTCCAGTGAATAACAACGACGAA